GGAATGTGCTTTTATTGGTGGCTTCTTCTTTTCCGTTTTCTTACTTAGACTTGGGTTTTAGCTTTCTCATGGCTTAAAGTATCCATCTGCTTCCCTTTTCCTAAAAATGTGAACGTTTGTTTTTGGCTATCGATTTCTTACCTGTTGTCTTAGTCCTTGTAGGTTTAGGCCTTTTAAAAATCCCTTTCCAGGTGTTTGAGTAGAATTTCATGGGAGTGGGGAGCAAAGGTCTAAGTGTAGAAGTATTCAATAGACCAGTGAGTCATTTTTCGAGCTTTGAAAGGGATATGAAGACAGCATTTTTCTGTATGTGTTAAAAGTAACAAAGGGACTTCCAAACGTTAATGAAAAATGAAATTTAAAGTTCATTTTGATGCGGAAATTTTTGAAATCTGTGTATACTTTTTTTCATAAGACGTACTTTCTATGAGCTTTTTGAAGGTTCCCTCATACTCAAAGGCTTCTAGTTTCTGGCCTCCAGTACTGTTTCCCAAACCTACTTTTTCTGTCTTTAGGGAACATTAAAATGATATAGTCAAGAGTAAATACTGTGCTAACTGGGGTGGTTACAGATAAATAGACATTGACATCCATAGTCTGCATGTGTGAGTATATAAGTGTGTGTGTGTGTGTGTGTGTGTGTGTGTGTGTGTGGGTGTGGGTGTGTGTTTGAAGGGTGTCATCAGGAGGAAGGAGAATGAGAGACAGAAACAGGGGTGATGGCTTCTGTGAAGCAATGACTAATTTAAGGAGTCTCTATATAGGAGAAGCCTGTTGGTGGACTATACATCCTGCTTCCAAACAGAGGTCCGAGGGAGAGAAAGTTCGAATTGGTGATGACCTCATCCTCGTCAGTGTATCCTCTGAAAGATACCTTGTAAGAATCTTCTTTTTTTTTTTTTGGAGAGATTTTCACTGTAGGGCGCGTGCGCTCGCCAGACAGACAGAGAGAGACATAGAGACAGAAAGCGAGAAATCACCCCCCAGGGAGGATGGTCACGCCGCAATTCCTTCTCCTCCATTCTCCTCTCAGGATCTTGGGCACGCACGCACACGCGCCCGGCGTGAGTTTCAAGCCACCGGGTCCGGGACACGAACCGCAGTCGACTACGTGGGAGTCCAACGACATAGCCATTACGCTAACTGCTGGTTCCCATAAGTATCTTCTAATAGGCATCTTTCATTTTCAGAATTTTGTTCCTTTAGGAGTAGATGGCTAGGGAGAGCTGAACCCCAAGAGACAGGGTAGGATAAGATGCTTTTACAGAGTGTACCTGAGAGGTGATTAAGTTCTTTCCCCTGGCAAATCACCATGGTGCCTGGAATTTAACTGTTGGTTATCCTTTGGATTATAGTGCAGTGTCCAGCAAACTCTGCTAAGATTCCCCAGTCACTATTAAACATTAGCTGCCATTACTGTGAATTTGTCACACTGTTTAGCTCTTTTCCAGGGAAGAATAAGCCAAAAAGAATGGAATGTGGGAATATAAGCTTACGGTGTAGAAAGATGATTTAAATACTGTAACATGTGGAATACTGCAGAGGTTGGCTGATGCCAGGAAGATTTTGCAACGGGGGTTGGGTACTAGACAAGCAGTATTGGCATTAGGTCCTTGGCTGGGGGTGGGAATGCCTGAGGATCAGAGACATGTCAGAGATAAGTTTGTAAGCTTCTCCACAGCTTCTCAGAGAGCCAGCCCTGCTGACAGATGTTGCTTTGCCACATCCAAATGCTGGAGTAATTTTTTTCCCATTTGTGAGCTTCCTTATCCTACAAAGAATAGACATTTTATGACTTCATGTTGAATCAGGGATCCAGCTGAGGGGATGAATTCAACACTTGTCTGCCACCTCTGTAGCTGAATACTTCCTCTTCCCAGAATAAAGTGTCCCACTTTGAAGCTGCTTCTTGATTGGGTGGAAAATCTCCCACAGGCTATGTAGAAAGATCCAGGTGACAGTAAGGCTATTAGATTTAATCCTTGAAATTTTAGGTGAGCTGCTTCTGTCAGTACTGGCCTGCAGATCTAAAGTATGTCTCCTTTCTGTTTCTGCTACAGCATCTTTCGATATCAAATGGTAACATACAAGTGGATGCCTCCTTTATGCAAACACTCTGGAATGTACATCCGACGTGCTCAGGAAGTAGCATCGAAGAAGGTGTGCTGTTTTATATGCATTCGGCCCTGAGCCTGGTAGTCTCTCTTGTGCTGTAGATATTGACATTTTCTGCTACTTTCTAGCTCCCACCTGAATGTTGGTACACAGGTAGCATGATTTTAGTTCACCTGAATTTCTTTCTCTGATGTCAGTATGGATTATTTTCTGTCCTGACTTCCAGTTACATGAACATCCCAACATTACTTTTTAATCCTTTACAGCCCACTATTATTTTAGCATTATATATGTTCAGGACTTAGGTATGCACCTTACCTTCTCTCACTGGGTTTTTATTTTTACTTAAAGTAATTAGTTGTCATTTTTCATTTTTTCTTAAATGTTAAGTATATAGACTTCAGTAACTTCAGTCTTAGAAGAGATTATTTGCCAAGAAGGTGACATTGTTTCTCTTTCACCCTATTCATCTCTCCACATAGAGAAAGGACTTTCTCCCTAATAAAAGTGTGCTTGGTCATTTGTTTTCACTTGTGTTAATGGAAGAACACTAAAAATGATAAGTGAAATTTTCTCAATATTTTATTTTTCCCCTTAAGATCTTCAGACTTTGTCCTTAAATACTATTTCTTGAAGCCAGGCAAAGTCAAAGCACCTTATGAGTTATATAATATACATATTGTCCTTACCTCACTCATAGGCAATACTGGAGCTGTGCAAAATGATCTCATGTCAGTGACCTGTGGGTTATCGCTTTATAGTCTAGCACTTTATGACAAGATCAGAATGTTTAAAAATAGTCATACCGTAGGCTTTAACCCTAGTTTTTACCCTGAGACTAGTAGTTCCAAATTGGAATGTTCTTCTCTGCTTATGATCTTTGAAAATAGAGGGAAGCAGAGTTGTCAGGGTGATACCCCAGTTTCAGAAGTTTTCATAGCTAAACAGAATAATCAGGAAGCAGCAAACTGTTAAATCTTTCAGCAACATGTGGCAGGTCTTAAAAAGACGGATGTGTTTGACTCTCTTCCTTGGTACCAAAATTAACCCACACCTTAAGTCTATCTTCAGTCATTCCCTTTCTATTAAGAATCAAGATAAAAAGCTCTGGGTTTAAATCTATTTTTCAGACGTTTGACTCCATCCTCATAGTAAAATTTTCATTTTCATCATAGGAATATAATTACTTCACAGTCTCAAGAGAGGCCATGTGGAGATTAATTAAGGATTATTTGCAAATCATGTCAAAAAGGTCCTTATAGAAGTGTTGAGTGCTCTTGCTGTCGCATAGTCTGGATAGCATATCACTTGAGTCTTCTGGCTCTGTTGCAAAAGCTCTTTGAGCATCCCTTGATGAGAAGCCTACTTTAGCCCTTGTGAATGTAAGCAGTCATCATCTTAATACTTCTCGCCTGACTCTGGCCCCAATATTTTTCAATTAAGAAAAGATGGGATGCACCAACACTTTCTCTGTGGGGGTGGGCTACTGATCGAAGGAACCTGAGAACTATACACAGCAGACTCCCAATGGGGCAGGACCTCACCATTATGAGGTGATGAGTTTAATGAAGAGCTCAATCATAGAGGATTTTAATTTTTTAAATAAATTGGCTGTTAAGCATCCACCTTCAATGTATCTTGAATTATTTTTAATGCAAAATAAAGGATATAGCTGGAAATATTAGTCCAGCAAGATACAGAAAAAATTTTAAATGAACTTCAGAATGTTTGGGAGAAATTTAAGAAAAATTCTTCTCATCTAAGTGAAAAGGAGCTAAAGAAAACCATACTGTCACCATACAAGGTGCATTAATAACACCCTTTTCTCTGGGATGTTCTCATTCTTACTGTTTTAATACAGCACACAAAATGGTTTAAGACAGTCCCTCAAGTGACCCAAGTATTTGATTTTTAAAAATTCTGAGGTAGACATTGAGCATACTAAGTCCATATGTCTCCTGAGAACAGAGTAGCGTGGGGAATTTTTAAATTCGAAAGAATAATAAATCTCATTTCTCTGTACAAAACAAGCTTAGTTTGAGGCCTCTCTTTTGCCATGGTGTTCTTTGAGTTAAGGCTCAGACTTTATTTGGAGACTAATGGGTCGTCATGTCCTTGAAATTCATTGTTTCCTTTTCATCTCTGAACTCCATGACTATTGAGATTTCTTTCTTATTCTAAAAGCTAAGTGCTTACTGATAACAGAATCTACACTTGTTCACTGAGGGATTCTGGAGAGTAATTCTGCTTTCTTCTTTATGTTGTAGGAGTAGCATTCAGATTTGATCTGTCTGTTAAATGCATTCCATTCAAAAGCTAGCCTCTTTTAAGACAGCTCTTTAGAACAGTTTGCTATCCTCCTTCTAAGCACCTGCTTTTTTCCCCCCATGACTATCATTTGATTTGGATTTTGTCACAAAGTTTACACACCAACACTTGTAGGAACTTGTCTAGGAATTTAGTGTTGGATGTATTTACATTCGAAGCAATAGGAAAAATCTTTGTCTTCTAATGGTAACAGCTTAATATTCCCTAATGGTAACAGCTTAATATTCCCTTTTAGTTTCTAATGAAATCAATTGATAGATGATTTTCACCTTACCTTTTGATGTTGGACCTGCTCATCTCTGAAACTCCATCGAACTTTCAACATTAGAATTATTTTGACTTTCTTGTCTTTTCTGCCTGAGGCCTGAATTCATGAAATCTGTAATTTCCCAAATGCATCCCTTTTGATGTTTTCTGTAAGTGACTCAGACATGCATGAATTTGCCCTTTTTAAAAGTGGTGTTCTCTTCTTTAAACTTCCCATCAGTTCATGGTAGAATGTAATTGTTTTATAGGATACCTTCTTGGGGGGCACGTAGTACGCCTTTTCCATGGTCATGATGAGTGTCTGACGGTCCCATCTACCGACCAGAATGATTCCCAGCACAGGTAAGCCAATAGCTCTATCCTTCTACTCACTGTCTCATCTCCGTGGACTTGGACTGTAGTTTTGCATTGGGCCAGAGATGAATTCTATACCTTCAATGGGCAAACCTTCCTCCAGCCACGGGCCTATTTTGTAAAACAGGAATAGTAGTACAGTAGTTCGCTCATAAGAAAAGCCATGTACTTGTGCTGCTTTGTAGCCAAGCAATTCTCTAATGCTTTCCAATTGCTTCATTTTCTTTGGTTGCTTCTGAGGCTGAGAAGTTTCTGTAGATTGAAGCACCCACTTTGGTCATGGAAATTAAGCTAATCATGCCAGTGTTAAGTAATTAAGGTGGACTTTGTCAAATTGGTTTTGATTATTGCCAAATAGCATTGAAGACACCATATATTGATATCCAGCAGGCGCTGGATTAGCGACAGGTTGGGCCAAGGGCAACATTTGCAAGGTGCTGCGGGGGTTAGGCTTTCCTTGGTCCTATAGTTGATGCCTCCAATGGATGCTTCTCAAAAGCTCAAAACCTTGAAAAGAAAAATGTTAACTCATATTTTAACTTACTGAAGAATCCTTTAGTATTCTGTTTATTATCAAGAGGACAGAGCATAAAAAGCTTGTCCCTATAAGCATTAAAGTTTGGTATAAAAATAATAAAACCTCAGGCCCAAATTGAATTTGAGGAATCAGGGGGCCTTCTCCTTTGTGTAATACCTACAGAAACCTTGTTAACTACTTTTCTTTTGGATATTGGCTCTTAATGACCAAGAGATCATCTTGGTCAGGCTTCTAACAAAGGTGACACACTGGCTGATTCAGAGGGAAGCCTAGAAGCCAGACTAGACTGGTTCTCTGTGAGGGCTCATTTCTTCCTTGAAGAACCAAAGGGCCCCCAGAAGCAATGTGCTAAGTGTGTTATTGTGCATCTTAAAATCCATACATTGGCAATATGTATCCCTTCTAGTTCTGAGTCTCTTCTTACTTGCTGTGTCCTTCACAGAAACCAGATGTGAGAGCCAGATGTGACCCAGAACAGTGTCTAGGACACGTAAAGCCCATACCTGTCACATGCCATGATTAATTTACTCACTGCCTCCCTGTCACTGGTGCAGAGGTTGACAGTTATCTCTGAGTAGGGAAGTTAGGGTGACCTGATTTCCCTTAGAGTTAAGGATTCTCTATCTTAAGTAATGTCAAGTTATCCTGGTCAGTTGCAGTTTTCTATCTTCCTTTCTTTCTTTTTTTTTTTTTTTTCAATATACTGTCTCCTTTATTTCTTACTCTGCTGCATTCAGGAGAAGGTTTGCCGGTGTGTAAAGAACTGAAGTTATATGAATGGGTTTTGTAGAGTTATCTACACCTAAGATGGAACACATCAGAATTTCACTAGTTCTTCCCATTTCTATTATAAGGGTAGGAATTTGGAAAAAGTGAAACACTGTGTGATGCACCCCAATATTGCCTCTCTCCATACACATATGTTTAATTAAAATTAGAGCCAAATTCGAAACAGCTGGTCCAGAAACTACGTTGGTTGAGAGATTTGCCCTTCGAGGGGCATTGCTGGTGAGTGATTCAACAGTGTCTTGCTTAGAAGGAAAGACTGGGCAAGCATTTTAAAGGAGGTGGAAAGAGAGTAATGTGATTGGAGAGAACTTCCCAAAATGGGCACATTGAGCACGTGTCATTGAAATAAGAGCAAAGATGGCCGTCATTTGGCAGAGGATTCATGGGATCTCATCTAAGTTTTGGAAAGAAATCCAACAGATGAAAATGAAAGGAAATATCCCTCTCCTTTGTAAGAAAGATAAAAGGAGTTGAGATTGGGGCAGGGGAATATCAGCCATTCAGTACACTGGACCCTGCCTTTTTAAAGGGTCAACTGGTATCTCAGCCAAGCTGGATGTCTTGGAGTTACCTGATGACCAGGTGAGGTGCATAATCATCTCATCATCTCGTCTGCCAGCAGGCATACATTCAGTACTATCTAGGATGACCACGGTCCCTGAGATCTGGGGGGCACAAGGGAATAGGAAATAGAGAAGTGCTCAGAGATCCCAGCAGCCACTGAGGCATGCAGCTGCTCCTGCATGACTGACAGTGCCGACTCTCCAGGGGACTCATTTGTATTCCCTCTGAAGTCCGAGAGCAGCCAGACCAGCCAGGGAGACCGACTGTCCCTGTCTGGAAACCCCAGATCGACAATCTAACATTCTGCACTCTGATCCTCAGTTCTGCCTCTGGCTTGTCAAACACCCTGGGATAAGTCACTTAACCTATTGAAGCTAAGGCTAAGCTGTCAGCCAAACATTCAAAAGTACCTCAGCTCACCACCCACTCTACTCCCCTCCTTGGAATTATTTTAGAGAACGGGAACAGGCTGTTTCAACCTCAGTAACCTTGTGAGATTAAACAGAGCAAGCCGCCCAAATGTCACAGGAGGGAAGAAGAATCCTTCAGATGTCAGGGGTAGAGAACACTCCAGTGCCAGCTCCTGTGCTGTTTTACCCTCTCTACCTGAGGGGTCCTTTCCACCCTCACCGAAGGGTAAAGCATCAGTGAAAGTCTCAGCAAATCTTCCTGAAGAGCTGAGAGGCCAGTGCAGTATCATTTCTATCCGTTCTACCTAGGCCTGGTACAGAGGAACTGGGTGTCGAACTCTAAAGTGATGTAGTATTTTCTTTTCTAACATTTAGTGTTTCTTGATAGCATGTCCATTTGAAAAAGGTTTAAAAATGTCCTCTAAAATCCCACTTTCCATAAGTAACTACTGCCAATGTATATTTCATTGTATTTCTATACCACTGATACATTTTTGTACACATATTTATAAGCATTTATTGATATTTGAACAGAATTTGAGTAAGTCAACAATATATAGTAGTTCTTACATCCATGAACATCTTCACATGATTGCTTCTTTATTTTTTTTTTGAGAGGTTTTTGCTATAGGGCGCATGTGCTCGCCAGAAAGACAGAGAGAGACAAAGAGACAGAAAGCAAGAAATCACCCCCCAGGGGGGATGGCCATGCCACAATCCCTTCTCCTCCATTCTCCTCTCGGGACCTTGGGCACACATGCACATGCACCCAGCATGAGTTTAAGCCACCGGGTCTGGGACTCAAATCACGGTCAACTATTTGGGAGTCCAGCGACATAGCCATTATGCTAACTGCTGTCCCCCACATGATTGCTTTTTTAAAAGGCCATTAAATCTTCATAACTACCCTGTGATGGATTATCCTTATTGGACCTGTTTCACACCAACATGCTGATGCACAGAGAGTTGAAGGGTCTCGCCCAGGGTCACACAACTAACAAATTCAAACTCAGGTTTTTCTGAATTCCAAGCTTATCTTTTGAACTAGTTCATAATTATACTAAGTTTCCAAAAGAGAAAATGAGTATACATTTCCTTTCACCTCAGTGATCACCTATTAGGGACCTATTGTCTCTAATCTCTATCAATAGATCAAAATTCTTCTGAGACTTGAATGATCCAATTAGGATTTATACAAATCCTCTACAGTGGAGGTAGGCTTTTAAATTTTTAATTTAAAAGCTTTTGCGTGATCCATTTTGACCATAAGTCACAAGACTCTCAAAAGGTAGCTGGATTTGGTAGACAACATGATCTGGGGCCATGTCTTACACATTCTGAGACATGCTCTTCAAGTGTGATTGTTTAATTGTGCGTAACCTGTGGTATAGATAGGTCCCCACTGTGTACATTAAAGAATTGAGAATTGGCTAATCACTAACTAAAACAGACAAAGCCAGATTGAAGGACATTTCAAAGGATCCCCAACCAGTATTCCTCAAATCGGTCAAAGTCATAAAAAGCAAGGAAAGACTGACATGACAATGAAATGCAATGTGGCATCCTGAATTGGGTCCTGGAATGGGGAAAAACAAATGTAAGGGGAAAATTAGGTAAAAATCCAAATAAAGTCCTTAGTTCAGCTAGTAATGACATACCAACTTTGATTTCTCAGTTTGGGCAAAGGTCCCATAGTGATATAAGATGAATGATATTAGGGGAAGCTTAGACTAGACAGACTTTCTCTAGACTATCTTTGCAGTATTTATATAAACCTCACATTTTTTTCCAAAATAAAAATGTTATTTAAAAACACACTAAAAGATGATTCTTAACATAAGAAAGGTGGTAACAGTATTGGTAATAAAATCGTGATCAACTACCTAACATAAGGCTTTGTTCCAAGTATCCTAGAACAATGAAAATGAGTTCACATTGTATCAAATTTGTGTTTTACAAGTAGAAATTCATTTTGTTCAAAACGTAACATACATTAAGGAGCTTAACCTGAAAGAATTAGAGCATTGGTGTCTGGAATCATGGTGTATAACTGTGCTGTTTTGATATCTGTAGAAATGGAAACATTCCTTCCCTCCCTTTCCATTGTACATCTGATTATCCATGATATGTACATGGTGAACAGTTCTCTCCCCTAAAGCAGCTTTTATCCCTCCTAAGACTGTGAGATTGGAACGGGGAAGCTGTGCCTCCCTTTGAGTCTTGCTGTGTGTTTTGCTATCTCTGAGAAAGGAGAGAGCTTAGACAAGCAGCAGGGTCTGAGCCTCCTCAGCACGGAGCTGTCCCTCACCCAGTGCTGATCATTGTCACATATATAAAAGCTAATCTCCAACTCTGCACACAGGAGGATACTCTATGAAGCTGGAGGAGCTGGGACTCGAGCCAGGTCTCTGTGGAGAGTGGAACCTCTTCGGATAAGGTAATGGAGGGGCCAGATGATGCTGTTTTCAAGATTACTTTCTTCTTCAATACGCTCTATTCTCGTAAAGATTTCATTTGCTCCAGCTCACCTGTCTCAGAATTCTTGGTTCAGAACTAAATTCTAAATTTTCCATAACTTTGTTTATAAAGAACAACACACACACACACACACACACACACACACACACTCCAAAACTGCTGTTTGACTGTGAGGCTAGATGGAAAGGCAGGCTTGGAATGGCCACTGAGAGCCACCAAAGTTCTTTTTCCATTTCTTCTTTTAATCAAATCCTCTGGAAGAGATGAGTCTCTCTCCTCTCAGCATTTCTGCTGACTACCTGGATGGAAGGAACAGGAGGCTGAGATTTTCCTGCCACAAGCTTGAGCAACAACATGTGGTGGCCAAGCCCCACACTACTGGAGAGGAGTCCAGCTCAGTGCAGGTCCTTTATCTTGCTGAGAGGGTTTGAGAGTTAGACTTGAGCAAAACTGCTTGGGATGAGAGAGGACGTTCCATGTTGCCTTTCCCTCTAACTGTTTACTTCGTTTCTCCCAAACACATGTTCAAAGTAAAATTCTCTTTCATGAGAAATATATGTCACCAAGGGGGTCCTTAAGATAATGTATTGAAAATGAGAAGAAAATATTAGAACTTCTTTTAATCCCCCTTCTCTCTCTCTCTCTCTCTCTCTCTCTCGCTCTCTCTCTCTCTCTCACACACACACACACACACACACACGCACGGGGAGCTGGAACCCACATGGCCAAACATGGCTGTCTTGCTCAAATTGGTGGAAGGAATATTGGTTTTAAGGAGTTCTCATTAACTGGCTTGAGGCATTTTCATTGTCTTTCCAGCCCCACTAAAAATCTGACAGTAACATATTCTTGTTCTCAGGCTATTAGGCCTTTTAAAGGCCTAATAGGGCCTTTAATGGGCTTTTAAAAAAGTCAAAATAGATATCCACATATAGTTCTAGTTGTAGTTATTAATTCATTGCCTCAGAGACCTAAACATAAAGAAATTTATTCTTTTCTCAATGTAATTTGGACTCATTGGTGCTCCAAAGAGTTGGAAAAAGTAGAGAGTGATTTCTTTTTAAGTTGACATATCGCTCTCAGATTTCTATTCTGACTTAAGAGATAAACTTTGAGTTATCACGGATAATTTCTCCCCTAACACTTGTCATAACTTTCATTGAATGTGAATCACTTGATGTGAGACCATTAAAATGCTGGCATTCAATATGGGATCTCCCTTATCTCAGTCTTCTTATCCTACTTTACTTTTTAATTCACAGGATTTATCTTCTAACATAATATATTATTTACTTATTTGTGAAGTGTCTTTATTATCTGCCTCTCTCTGGCAAATATAGGCTGTGCGGGTATTTTTACTATTTCTTTTGAAGTTAGGACTCTTTGTGGTGGTGAAATGTTTTGAGTTCAGATAGCACACTTAGAAAGGATTGGATTTTCCAGAAACAAATTTCTGTTAAAAGGCAAGCTTTACTGAGATGGCCCCATAGCCTAGTGGTTAAGGGAGCTGGAACCCACATGGCCATCTGCAGTTTGAATCCCAACCTCAGCAACTTGAAAAACATGTCAGGCATGGGTGTGTGTATGACCCAAACCCCAGCAGAATGGAGAAACAGAAAGGGTTACAGTATGACCATGCCCTACCTGGGGTGCTTTCCCTCTCTCTCTCTGTAGCGAGTACACATGCTTTGAGGCAATTAACAAAAAGGCAGGTTTCCTATTCATTTTATGGTTATTTGCATTGAGATACTTCAGCAGAGTGAAGGAAGAAAGAAAAACTTGGGATTTTCATTATATTAAACCCTTGACCTACCCTCAGGATCATGTTCCTTGTTGATGCCTTTAAGAGGGGTCAGTAGCGTGGTGGTTAAGGTGCTGGACTCCTACATGGCTGACTGAGATTCAAGTCCAGGACCCCAAAGCTAAAAAATCAGATCAGGTGCATGTATGTTTTATTGAAAATCCTGAAAGGAGAAGGGCTTGCAACATGGTCATCCTCCCTGGTGGATGACTTCTCACTCTCTCTCTCTGGCAAGCACACATGCCCTCTGGCAAAAACACTAAAAGGAAAAAATAGTAACAAGAGAGATCAAAAGAGAAAACTACACAGAGTGGTAGACAGACATGAAATCCCCGAGCATGCCAGGAGACTGGTACATGGTCCCTTAAGAATGAACACCATAAGGTTCATAAGTTTACAAACATGGGTAAGAACAGACTAAAATATTAAATATTAAAAAGGACTGATTTTTTGTATAAATGCTATTCCTTGCCTGTTTCTTCTACTTAGCTGGAGTGGCAGTCACATCAGATGGGGCCAGGCTTTCCGACTTCGTCATCTCACCACAGGCCACTACCTGGCCTTGACAGAAGACCAGGGCCTTATACTGCAAGACCGAGGGAAGTCAGACACCAAGTCCACAGCCTTCTGTTTCCGGGCATCAAAGGTAAGGTGTTATAGATGGACTCTTGACCTTGTTTTAAAAGTAAAAGCTCTGAAAATTCCAGGTAAAACTATGGCTGAACAGAAAGGCCGGAACAAAGTGAAATTGGTAATGAGACCTGTGATAAACACTTTCTTCTTTTATCTTTTCAACTGTAGTTCATGGAGGAGAGTGTACTTTAGAGAGTGTTGAAGTCTTAAGGAAAAGAAGAGGGAAAAGCCCTAGGGAACACAAGAATCACAAAAACAGACATGTTTGCTCAGAGGCAAATGGAAAATGTTACTTAGCACGTTCTAAGTTGTGGTTTTAAGTTCTACTCTTCATTCCTATAAAGCAGTGGTAATATGGAGGCATAAGTTTCAGACCTATGCTTGTTTAAATCAAGAAAATGATTTATTTCAGAAAGATACCCAGAAGATATAATTCTGTTAGTGGCATCATCTTGCTGCTGTTTATATAATTATACATAGTTACTAGTAACTGCCTCAATTTTTTTTTTTTTTTTACTATCTTTACGCTCCAGTTTTTTTGTTTTTTGTTTTTTTTTTCCTATTCATCTCTAACCTTCATTAAGAATGGATCCTGGGGGCCAACAGTTGGCATAGTGTTTAATGCACTGGCCTCCCATATGGTAGTCTGTGGTTCAAGTCCCAGACCTGATAACAAAATTCATGCCAAGCATATGTGCATGCGTGCATAAAAGAAAGAAGGAGAAGGGATATGGTAGGGTGACCATCCCTCTGGGGGGTGATTTGTCACTTTCTCTCTTTGTGTATCTGGTGAGTGTACACACCCTGTAGCAAAAATCCCTCAAAAAAAAAAAAAAAAAAGGTATGGATTCTGTGCTGGCCCTTATAGCCTAGCAGTTGAGGAAGCTAGATCCCATATGGCCAAGTACAGTTCAAATCGCAGCCGCAGCAGCTTGAAAAATCCACCAAGCACATATGCATGCGTAACTAAAATCCTGACATGATAGGAAAATGGAGAAGGTACTGCAGTGTGACCATGCCCCATGGGTAAACATTTTTTTAAAAACTCAAAGCGATACTTTCTTTTACTCCCTCTCTCTTTCTATGTATCTATTTCATCCGTGCAGGCACGTGCCCCTTTGGCAATTAGGAGGACAAAAAGAATGGATTCTACAGTAGTTTCACCCCAAATGAATAGCTTTGCCATTTGATGCATATTTAGGCAACTGGTTTTTGTTATGTTTTATTTTTTTATTTCCATCTTTAATGTTCAGCCTGGTTTTGACTCTCAGGGCTGGATCTAGCTGGATGACCGGAACCACATGCTGAGCTAACTTTTAGCAGACAGTGGGGGTGCTCTGTCACTGTATGATTGTTCTGGAAAGATTATCCGAGCGTGAGAAAGACGGCGCAGATGAATGCACAGGGATCGGGAAGCCTGCGCTTCCTAGGAAGGCTCGACATCGCCTCTGGGAGCTTCATCTCTAGTTTCATTCTTTTTTGCTCTTTTCCAGAAATAGATCTTGATTTGTGTTCTCAACACGACTTCAGCAAAAGGTTATTGATTATTCTGTTCATGTAGGACTAGGTGTGAAGCTGACAGCTGAATTTTCTATGGGGCATCTCTGCCTCCT